GAAGTTTGTCTTCACAAATAGGCCCCGCCTTTTAGGCCAACATCATTCATGGTTCTCTGATACCATTAGCCATAAGGAAACAACTAGTGTTCATAAAGCAAGGGGATTCAATAGCAATAGCAGCTCCTTCTCCCAACTCTATTGTTCTCACCTTTTAAGGGGTTATTGTCTTGACAGGAATCAACACAAAATTTACCTATTGCGGGAAGCTTTAATAATCAAACATGCCAAATAAATGTTTACCAAAAATATATATGTGTATATTAGAAGCAAAAAGTCTTTGAAGTGTGTAAATTTTTGGATATTTTTAAATGTATATTTTAAATATTTTGAGAAGTTTTTTTGAAATTACTGTAGTTAAAGTTGTTAAAAAAACTTGTAACAGACAAATTTGGTCAAAAACTTGTTTGCCAAACAAGGCCTTAATTAGTTCGAAATTTTAAAAAGACCCTAATAAAAGATTTGCTTAAATGGTTTAAACATGTATTTAACATTTTAAAATGTGAAGTTACATGACTAATATTGATTGCTGAGCAATCAAAAGTAGTTGATGCTGAGCAATCAAAGATTATATTTGAATGTAAATACGTAATGTGTGGCAAAAGTACAGCTCAGTTTGTTTGGATAGAACTTTATTTGAATGATTTTTTTGAGATAATTACTGTAATACTTTTTGTGATGTGATGTATGTGAGATAAAAATAAGATTGTGAAGATAAAAAGGTGATTAGAATTTGTGAAACAAATTATTTTAGCTCAAATACACTCAATCCAAACACACTCAGTGACATTGCTTTTAACATTTTCTTACGAGAAACATAGAAAGATCTATGGCTCTGTTTGGATTAACTATTTTGAGGGTGTTTTTCAAAAATTTTACTGTAATTGTGTATATGAAAAATTTCTACTGTAGATATTTTTTGGATTGTTTTTAAAGATATTTTTAAAATATATTTTTGAATATTTTTATAATTTATAATTTTTTTGGGATATTTTTTTAAAATTTTACACGACCCACCACCATCTCCTTCCCTCTATTTCCTCTCCCTCATCCTCCTCCTCCTGTTCCCTCTTTCCTCTCCCTTCTCCTCCCTCCCCTCCTTGCCCCCAACCCCAAACCCCTCTCCTGCTCGCGGGTGATGGTTATGACTTTAGCCACCACTCTAACCACGACCGTCTTGGTCACGACTTCTGGTCGCGATCAGATTTGATCGTGACTAGGAATGTTGCGGTAAGTGGAGGAGAAGGAAATAGGGGGACGAGAAAAGGGAAAGAAGAAAGGAGGAAGGAGAAGAAGAGAGAGGAGAAGGAAAAAAGGAGAAGAAGGAGGAGAGAGAGAGAGAGAGAGGGTCGTGGGTATGGGGATGGTGGCAATAAGGTGGTGGAGAGTGATGGGTAGTGGCGTAATTTTTTTTATATAAATATTTGGAGTTATTTTTGATATATTGTATGGATATGGTGTTTTTGGAGTTGTTTTTGTTTGTGTATATTAAAAACTTGTTTTTCAAAAAATGAGGAATCCAAGCATTTTAGACTAACAACATATTTTTTTAATTATTTTTTTATTTTACATACATCATATTAAAAATATATTACAATTTTGTGAACGCATCCATTAGAAAGTAAGAGAAGAGAACAATAAAATACACCAACAAGAGACAGAGAAGGGGGGATTTTTTTTTTTCCCCGCCCATGACATTGTGATACTTCGGACGCTTACAATTAGTGCTTGAGATGATCATGCCCCGATTTTTCAAGTTGAGATCGCGAGCACCGAGCCTGGAATTTTCTGTGCACGGATGAGTGTTTTTTGTTAGGCATTCATTTTGGTGTTTGTCTGGTAGGAGTACAATTCGTTCACAGACGATTCAATAGCAACCCCTTCTTTTCTTGCAGCAAGAGGCGAGAACAAGCTCCTCTAGAGATGAATGTGCAGCTGATTCAATAGGAGCTTCTACGATCACAGTAAGAGCCTCTATACCAACAGCGGCAACTCTCACAGCAGATAGGCTTACAACGGTTACTGAAACAGTTAGCCAAAGAAGAAGACCGGTAACGAAAGCAACGGATATTCCAACAACAATAGGTATTGTAACAATAGGATTCTAAACCTTCTGAAGGCCACTCACTCACTTGAAGACCGACCGAATGTGGACATTAGCAGCGCGTAGTCCTTCACCACAGAACTCCCTCAGTTTACTTGCTTCCTTAAGCCAAAAGCACCAAGAGTAGCTACTCCGACAAGAGCAGAAAAGGCACCAACATCGGTGACTAGTAGGGATCCCACCAGTTCAGGCATCATCCTAATCATCAGATAGGGAAGCCGGGATATAATCATCATCCTATCAATTGAAACTCACAATGCTGGGACGAAATACGATATAATTAAACACACTACACGTCTACGTACGACTGACCAATACCATAAGTAACTCACACAAAAGATGGAGGTCACAACCCCACGATTTTTATTTATTATTTTTTTTTTGGCCAAATGCACGTCCAGATATTCAACTTGGGTCCGTCCAGGCCTCAGCAGTTTAGATATCGAATTCGAAAGCTTTTGCCTTAGTGCTTAAACTATATATATATATATATATATATATATATATATATATATATATATATATATATATATATATATATATATATGTGCGATTCCCCCTTTCCCAAAAAAAAAAAAAAAAAGGTGCGCTTGGCTTGACAGACGGCCCAAATGGGGTGGGGTGGAAATGTCCTTCCACCATCTTTGTGATTGGCATGCATCCCTCCCATGAAAGTTGAAACACATGTGATTGCTTGGTTCGAAGTTGTAGTATTTAATTGATTGATTAGAGTGAGAATTGCAAAGAATCTGTCGGTTACATGATATGCTGCATCTTTCACTACTGCAAAAGAAAAGTGACAGGTGATGATTGATTTCAACCATCCGTTCAATTCTAGAAATTTGCAGAAAGAAGAGATTTGCCAAAGGTGTTTGAGCAACTTCTGCGAAGGACCGAACTCCTTCCTATTCGAGGCATCCGCAACTTCTCACCTTTTTGCACTTTTTAACTTTCGACCAAGCAGAGAACTCTTCCAGTCTCTAGCATGAAGGTTCATTTTTGGAGTTCATATTCATACCAGCCAAAACACGTGGAACGATCACAATTTATAAATCCCAGTAATGAAGCCCATGCCCAGTTCGCAAGTTAAAAACTTCTGAAGATTCTAATTTATATATATATATATATATATATAGGTAATCAATAATGTATAAAAAGACCCTAATATATATAGATTCTAGTTAATCACAAAAAAGACCCTAATAAAAGATTTGATTAAAACATGTATTTAACATTTTAAAAAGATGAAGGTATATGACAAGTATTAATTGCGGAGCAATCAAAGAATATGCCCAAATGAATCCCTCAATTGCGGAGCCGGAGGAGCATAGCAATGCCAAGAAGGTGCCCAAGGAATATGCGATGCGATGCGATGCGATGAGCGGGAGTCAATCTTCATCCATCGTCCTCTTCCGTTTGCGATCAAATTTGAAATTGGGCAATGCAATTTCAGGAACATATATTCAATACATCACTCAAAAGAAAGAAGAACTTGTTGGTTGATCATTATTATGTGCAATGGCCACCCAAGAAATTGAGAAAATAGAAAATCTGCTGAGCGTGGATGGAGGGAGGATATAGGTGCTGGTCCTACGTGGCATACAAATCATTTGACAATCATCATGTGAATTGCCTCCTGTTCCAAAACCGTCCAATTAATCTCCTGTTACTACGTCCTATATTATTATTCATTTCCTATATTCATCAGTTCACTAATCCTTCTCCTCTTTTCGCCGCATCGCTTATTTTCTGTTTTCGGAGTGGACCACGACCGACCCCTTCTCAAGTCTCCATCAGCTAAATGGCTACAGACGACGAGAGGAGAGACAGAACTCGTTGGATCTTTATATTATTGTTGCCTGAAGCTTATCCTAAACTCGTTTCTCTTACTCCCCCATTAAATTAGTAGTAATAATTATTTTTAGACTAGTTCTATGCCAAACATGACTCCAATTTCACGCAACTTTCACTTTTGTACAGTGGCCTGATTCCCGACTGAGTGCGTGCAAGAATATTCCTTGATTTCGCGTAAGATTCCCTTTCGCTCTCTAACAGATGATGAAGAGGATCAACATGTGATGTGGGTGCTCACGCAGAAATTGTTAATCTTTTTTTTTTCCCGGTAAAGAAAAAAAAACTTTTTTTCTTAGTTGAAAAAAGCAATTCTGTACGTGAAATAATTTTTTTAAAAAAACATTATAACAATTTTTTGATGAGATGTATGCGAGATAAAAAAAAATAATTGAAAAATATATTAATGATATAAACAAATAATTTGCACTATACAAACAAACCCATTAATATAATGTAGCTTGGATTAATGGATTTGGAGGAGTCAATTTGTCTTGCACCCCAAAAACGGGGGGAGCCGCCGTGGATTGTCCTAAGCATCTCAACGGAATATCCTATCCCTTAATTAAGTTGGCAAATGCGTTTCGGGGTTGGATAGAAGTGAATAGTGAATTAACCCACCCCTCCGAATATTCTTCATATTCCCGCGCAATTCCTGAATCATTCCCCAAAGTGAATATGCCGACGCCAAAGCCACAGCTCCCTTTTTAACCGTCCGATGATCACACTCGCGAGATCAAAAGGCTATCTAGGATGATTCGGGAGGCAAGATCACAAAATCCCAACAAATCCAGAGCGAGCACGTGACCGTTGCACAACAGAAAATAAAGGAAGGGGACGTGAAGGCGTGGAGTGGTGGGTCTTTCTTTGCTTTAACTCGCCACCAGGTCTCCAATTTCGCGTAGCGTAATATTCCATTGGCATCTTGATCTGGTTCTATTATTGATTATTCACACAAACCGTAAGGCTTGCCCATCAACTCTCTACCCAAACGGCCCAGGGCCCAGACCTATATATACCCCCACGTCTTTTACTCACTAGCATCCATCAAACAAACACGCCAACTCTCTCTCTCTCCTTCTTAGCATCCGTCCTTGAACAAACGCCCGCACTCAAAAGGTTCTGCAAAAACCACACCATCTCCTTGATTCCATAACAATGGCCACCGGAATTGTGGTGGTTTTCGACTTCGACAAGACGATTATCGACTTGGATAGTGATAATTGGGTTCTGGATGAGTTAGGTTTTACTGACTTGTTCAACCAACTTCTTCCCACCATGCCTTGGAATTCTCTCATGGTAAATCTCTAATATTGTTTTAAGCTTGCTAAATCTTAGTTGCATTTGTCCTTTTACGTACGATGGCTTCATTATTATTGTCTTGCAATTTACGACTTACTTGTGGTGGTGTTTTTGTGCTCCGTCGTAATATCGCAGGACAAGATGATGGGGGAGCTTCATGCCAACGGAAAAACCATCCAGGACATTGAAGAGGTTCTGAAAAGGGTTCCTATACATCCCAGAATTGTACCGGCCATCAAATCAGCCCATGCCTTAGGGTATACTACCATTCATCACCAACTCTTTCTAAGATTTCTGCTTCCTTGATAGTAGCGTTTTCTCCTCTGCTTTTCTCGGGACTGATGGATTTTCATCTTTTGTTTTTTTGCAGGTGTGACTTGAGGATAGTGAGTGATGCAAATCTCTTCTTCATCGAGACAATTCTAAACCATCTAGGAATTAGGGGATGCTTCTCAGAAATCAACACGAACCCAGGCTACGTTGACGAGAATGGGAGGCTGAGAATCCACCCATATCATGATTTCCACTCAGCATCTCATGGCTGCGATCGCTGCCCTCCTAACATGTGCAAGGTATACAATCCTCCTTCCCAACCCCACAACACTGGTATCTTTCCGTGTTTTGCCTTTTCTTTTCTTTTTTTTCAAAGTAAAAGTTTTAATAAAATTCTCGAAGTCTAAGGACATTACTCTAGAAGGCACGATGATACTGCTTAGAGAGAAATCCAGAGTGGTCCATCGTACGTAATTTCCAGAAAAATTATACAAGGAGTTGCTACGTATTCAAGGATAGAAATTGTCTTGAAAAAGAATTTTACACGTGAGTTTGGTAGATACAGAATCATTATCACGTCGTCAGTTTTCTTCAAGATTGGAATATTCTGGAATATGTGTTTTCCTGTCTTCAGCAGCACATTTTGACCCATGTCTCGCGGTGTCAAATTAGTACTAATAAACAAACAATTCATAGGTCCCTACCGGTCGCGATCTACTTGAGAATTTCACGTGGTCCTAGCTCAGTTGGTTACAAATACATAAATTAATAATCAGCAACGATTGAAAAGACATAAATCAATTAATTAACGCAACAACCTCAAGTTTCTCACTCAACATCCTTGTCCTTAATTTAATGGATCTACCAACACAATTTGTACTTGCATTCAAAACCGTCTACGTAACTTAATGTGAAGGATTTTAAATAGCTAGCTCATTAATTGTTCAGAATCTTAAAACTCTTTGGTCTTAAAATGGTGTTTGTTTTTTTTTCTCCTTTGCATAAACAGGGTATGGTCATAGAAAGGATTCAAGCATCTATAGCTAAAGAAGGGAAGAAAAGGCACATCTATCTTGGCGATGGGATTGGCGACTTCTGTCCAAGCTTAAAGTTGAAGGAAGGAGATTACATGATGCCAAGGAAGAATTTCCCAGTTTGGGATTTGATTTGCAAGAATCGAATGCTTCTAAAGGCAGAGATACACGAGTGGAACGATGGTGAAGACCTTGAACGTCTTCTTCTCCAACTGATTCACTCCATTTTCGCCGCAGAGGAAAGCCTGTCTCAGTTGTTGTCAACCGACTGCAAGTTCCAGACAATTCCTATGTCAGTTCACCAGGCCTTACCTCAAGCTCTATCAGTTCCTCAGTAGTGGCCAATGCTTTTTCCCGATGGCCAAACTTAAGGGGGGACGCAGATTAACTCCAAATAATCCAACTTTTTAGTTTTTTTTGCTGCTAGGTTTTCCATGATTTTCTAACTCTTATCTGTTGATCAAAGAGGGATCCACGAGAAACACAGTGAAAATCTGCACTTGTTTCCAATGTGTGTGTATGTACAGATTTGAACTGGCCTACTCTCACTTGAGGCTCAGATTCAAACCATTTTATGGCTCAACTACATCGTATGTTTGGATTGCATTTTCCGTCATTTTTCATGGAAAAATTACTGTAGCGATTTGATATATGTGAGGGAAAAAGATGATAGGAAAATGTGATCACGAAAAACGACAATATTTTCCGACGGAAACAAGCAATCCAAACAAGGCGTGCTCGTTATGGGCCATCCCTTTCAGAATTTTATATGCGCTCATATTTCTAGATAACGCATTCGAGAATTTAATGGAAACTTGGCACTAGATCACATCTCAACAATTCGTGAATCCAAGAGACGCCCAAGATAGATGATTAAAGAATCAAATTTATGGAAAGCAGATTGCTAAAAGGTGTATTTGCACCGCTAGTAAAATTAAGGCCAAAGCAAGCAAGATATTTACCATAAAATGCCCCATTCAAGGAGCAATTTGACCATGAAGTAGGCAGATGCATAGTTTATCCAGACAATTCCACTCTGAAGGAGATGCATTGTTCGATTAGGTTAACTCTATGTAAAAAAGTAGGCAATTTCGCGTAGAACCAAATGTTGAAACACAAAGTGCTCAACTTTCACCCAATAAAACACACCCACTCCCCCCCCCCCCCCCCCCCCCCCAAAAAAAAAAAAAGAAGTAATTTTGGCTTCATATTCTTGTCTTTACTGTACGGAAATTCAGAGAGTTTAGCATTGATATCTTCTCTTACTTGCTGCAGATTATAAGAAATTCAAAGGTGGTGTTGGCAACAGCCAACTGTTTCACCAATGTTCTGCAAGAAAAGAATTCAAGTTAGGCCGTGCAACTGGAAAAGTCTTCTGCTTGATTGATAATAGCATGTAACAATGAGTCATGCAACTCAACGTCGCAATTGAGCTTTTGAAACCACAAACTAAAACCCCATTATGCAACAAGGGCCTCGGTGCACGCTAAGAGCAAAATCTGTGAGCACAAATTCAAAGAAGAGGTCTGAAAAGCCTCAGAAGCACCCTTTCATTCCACCATTATAAATGTACAAAACAATAGTCCTCCCCCTTACTGTCTAACTACATCTGAAAGAGGCTCCCCTTTACCCTGTCTAACTACGCCTGAAAGAGGGCCTCCTTAAGCCACTGTCTTGGAGTTTCTAAATCCCCCAGTCCAATGTGACTCAACCAATGTAGTTCAATTAAATTCTACTAACATCCAATATCAAACCTTGTGACCATTGGCTCAAATTCATATCATATAGTCAGACCACTGAGAAATGAATGAAGTATGATCCATGGACTCTCCAGGCACATCTTCATGCACTTTAGGTTTCTCCTTTCCACCGACCAACGTTGCTGGATTTCCAACTGCTGTTGTCCAAGGGGGCACATCAATTAGCACAACTGATCCAGCTCCAATTTTTGCTCCCTCACCAATCTTCACATTCCCCAATATAGTAGCTCCAGCACCAATCAGGACACCATCACCAAGCCTTGGATGGCGATCACCAGAGACTTTGCCGGTCCCACCCAAGGTTACATGGTGCAGTATCGACACATTATTCCCAACAACTGCTGTTTCTCCAATCACGACCCCTGTTGCATGATCCAGCAACACCCCCTTCCCAATTCTAGCCCCAGGGTGTATATCCACTGCAAAGACGTCAGATATCCTAGATTGCAATGATAGTGCGAGCGGCTTTCCGTCTTCAAGCCATAGTTTATGTGCCAACCTATGTGTCTGCATCCACAGATAAATCATGACAATAAATCCATATCTACATGTGAATTTACATATCGCAGTTTCCATTTTCTTTAATTTGAATCTAATGGGTTAATTGCACTATTCATTCTTCTGATGCATATGAAATTCTAGAGATAAAAGCAATTGAAAAAAGCTAAAAAGTATAGCAATCAGCAAAGTGCAGGGGTAATTGAGCAAATAGTACAGCATAATCTACAACTATCCAGTCGATAATTATTAATTACTTACTTTTTCCTTTGTTATCACTTATCTATTGGAGTTCGGAATCATCCTCTGTGCATTTTTACCAAGGCGTCTTTTGTCTCTTTTTCTTTTTATTTGTAAATATATAGTGAGTTCATAGGAATACATAGCCATGTAGTTCCCTAGTGATTGACTACAAACCTTCCAAATTTTTAAATATTTACCCAAGAGATTACTCAATGGGCTTTTGATTTCCTAGCGACAAGTATAAAAATTTCATAGAAGTCCAATAAAAATAAAACCCAGGACCTTATTTCCCACAAAAATGTCGGTAACAACCATTCTGGCTGAAACCCAGAAAGAACCCAATGTAGAAAGCTGAAGGAAGCATAATATGAATCATACCTGGATAGCAAGAAATCCCTTGTAATTCAACAAACAGTGAGAGAAAGAAATACAAGCCGGGTCCCGGTAACGCGCGGCTCGAAGGTCTGCGACGGCGGCAGAAAGAATGGAGGGGTCGGAGGAGAAGGTATTGAGGAAGAGGTCGTAGAGGAGAGTGGAGAGGAGTGTGGAGGAGCAAAGCTTGTTTCCCAGATGGAATGAAAGCGAGCGAGCCAATGAGGAGTGAGAAAGCACGGTAGAGTACAAGTAGCTAGCCAAGGCTGGCTCCGACTCGGCGTCTTGGCGCGCCTCGGATTTTATCTGCTCCCAGACAAGGAGTTCGTCCTCATTTTCTTCCACGTTGCCGGCGGTCGGAGAAGGCGGGGATTGGTTGTCTTGTCCTGGCATTTGTTTGTCTAATAAAGTGGTCGTCTGGTTATCTCCGATGGACTGTCCAGTAGCTGTGGGATGAGGGTATGGAATCTTCTCAAATTAGCTCTCCCGGGATACACTACCGGACGATTGGATATGAAAATTTTCTTTTACGCTATTTCTTTCTATCAAAATTGAATTTCGTTCCCTTGAAATCAGATCAAGTTAAACACAACTTCGACCATCACCCACACTACCAAGATATTGTTTTTAATGTGTTACTTTAAGTTCGCAATTAATGTTCAAAAATACTCCTTCCATCTTATTTTGATAATCTTGAATTTTGTATTTACAATATTTTAAAAAAATTAATTAACTTTAATGAAAAAGTAAATATAACCTAATATTTTTCTAAAATACCATTGCATTAATATTGGTAGTATAACTAATATTCATACCTTTACATTAATTGCAACAACAATATTAATAGAAAATTGCATCATTCAAGGCATGAATCAAAATAATTAATGAATAAGGTAGGTTATATTTACTATAAGAAAGTACATTAAATAAGGATATCCTAGAGAAGTTAAAAATTAACTATATTCTTCCGTTGGAAAGTAGGTTATAATTTGGAACGGATGAAAATGAAAAACGAGACTATCAAAGTGGGTCAGATGGAGTATAACATTTTTTTTTTTGTATTAAATATCAAATTTCTTTGAGAATTAAGGATGCAAAAATAAGGCTATACCTCGTTAAATCAATTTATTGTGGCACAAAAGTGCAAATGTACTGCTTAAAGCAAATGCAATAAACTCAAATGAGTCAAAACTTATAAAATCTCGAATCTTTAAATTATAATCTGCCAAAAACTTTTTGAGGTGGTCAATGAGTGCACTCCTTGTGCAGTATGCCTTATAAATTTTTTTTACTCATAGTCTGTTGGGCAAGAGATTATTTAGAAAAATTATTTGAAATAACATGTGGCTCTTTTTTACGATGTGACATATATTACATAAAAAGATAATTAAAATATAAAAAAATAGTTAAAAAACGTGTTTATGATTCAAGCAAAAAAATTTTTTACAAATAACATCACATCCAAAGTTCCAAAGTAACCCTTATTGTTCTAAATCCTTATACACAAATGAAATAATCACTGTGTTGGCAAATTTTTTTATATATATAATTTGAGACATTGATTTAGCGATTAGAGTTAAGACCTTAAAACGTAGAGATTCTGCCATTCGAGATTCAAATCTCCCTTCCCCGTTCTGATTTCTTAAATTCCATCCTTCCTCTATTGAAAAAAAAAAATTGCATACAATTTGAGACAGAATAGAGCTGGAAAAGAAAAGAAAAAAGGAAAAAGAAATCCTTCCACGCCTCCTTCCATGGCTTTATTTGGGTTTAATACTTGTCAAGGATTTATAAAATTTTAAAATATATAATTTGACCTTTTAAGACATCATAATTGCTCCAAGTGTGAGCATGAAAATAAAATTTTTTTTTTTTTTGAGCATACTGTCATTTTCTAGAGTAAAGAGCTCTACAATATATGTGAGCATGAATGCCTAGATGCATTGATAACACATATTGGCTGCAATCTCAGGAGGTTTCGAACGTGCATGTCAAAATGAATAAGCTTCTCCAAGAAGTTCGACCACCGATGAACTGTTCCGCGAGGATCCTGCCAACTTTATTGAATAAATTAAGAAGATGGAAAAAGTTTTTGTGCTTCAGAAATTATTTGTAATCTAATTATGCAGAATTCGGCTTGTTGGGTATGCCATGCACGTTAATTGTTTCTTGTGAAGCTAGTTATGTAGGGAATTTTTCTAATGAGTCTACCTATAAAAAGCGACTGAAACTCGTGAAATTCTTGAATAACAACATAATACGATAGTTATTACAAATATAGAAATTCCTCAAATTAAGAAAGTGTGCAATCTTTAGTTTATTTCTATTGATTAACTAGCATGTCGCTTAACATAGAATTTTCTTTTTCTGATATCCTTAGTTGTCAATGATTTATTCTGTTGTCTTTATTTTTTTTTTCCTTTTTCTTTGTGGCTTTATAGTCTTGTCCTAGGGAAAGATTTAAAATTTTCTTTTATGGCTTCACTACTTTAAAAATAAATTTTTGCTCTCACTAATTCTGTGTCACATGTTTGTCGAAAAAAAGATTTCCATGCATGAAACATGCTATAGAAACAAATAACTGAACTCAAATAGCCAAAAAAAAAAAAAAAGAAAGAAAGGACATTCAGTAAACTCAGATATGCTAAATGAAAGGATTCACATATGGCAGCAGGATACTCTTAAAATTTCTAGAAATATCTTGTCTTGAGATGGTTGAAATGTCAGAATGGAAATTGCCCATCAAATGCAGCAGCCTATGGAGTTTCTCAAAGAAGCCATTCTTCATGATTCATCTTCTTCTTGATGTTGCTGCCTAGTCCTATTCATAAAAACTTTATCATGTGCAAGTAAAACAATTTTGCACAAGGTTTTTGGTTTCTTTCTTTAGAAGCACGCAAGTTTTAGTCACCTCAAATTTCCAATTTCTGACTAGAGTTCTTTCTGCAGCTGGCCCAATATTCAGCTACAAGCCTGGAGAAGGATGAATTCGTTTCCATCAGCTTTGAGGGCTCATCATACTCCGCAAGCTTCCCTACAAAGCACAGAGAATCCAAATTTCTAGGCTGAAACCATTCCATCCAAATTCTAAAAGTTTCATTACCAGAGTCATTTTAACAATGTGCTAAACTTAAAGAGACAAGATAGAGAGAGAAAACCAAAAAAGAAGGCTTACCAAAAGAAAGAACCATGACCATGTCACTATCTATGACTGTTGGAACTCTGTGTGCCACGGTTATCACAGTGCAATTGGAGAATTCTTCTCTGATCACTTTCTGCAGGATTGAATCAGTAGCTGAGTCGATCGAGGCAGTAGCTTCATCGAGGACTAGAATTCTATTCTTTCTTAGAAGAACCCTCCCGAGACAGAAGAGCTGCCGTTGCCCCATACTCCAATTTTCACCTTCATCACTGACTGTGTAAACATGAAGATGCAGAGATATTAATCATCTGTCACTGTAAGCTAAATAGCATTTGTTTGTATGGATGAGTTCTCAACGGAGGCCAACAGGACTAAAGAGTGGCCTACGAATGCAATGCATTATCGATGTTGTGTTTCTTAAAACTTCCACATGTTGTCAGCTCAAATTTCGTTTTGGAAAAGGATCAGAGAGAAATGTTTTTCAAATGGCTTTATCAAGATCCCTGAAAAGCCATTGTGATCTCGCTTTGCAATGACTCACCAGAAGAATCTAACAAGTTTGGAAGTTTGCTGACGGTGTCCTTCAACTGGCACTTCTCCAGAGCCTGCATATGAAGTAGTGGTCATATATATTCAAAAGAACTGAGCAGATGATTTTAGATAATTTCCAGTTTCGTTAACAGTACAGCCGTATTTCCTATGGAGTTCTCGGAGGGATATTAGTTTGCGCACCTTCCATATCTCGTCCTCAGAATAGATGCCTAAGGGATCCAAATTGGTTCGAATGCTGCCCCTAAAAAGAGTTGGTTCTTGAGGGATTATGCTGAGCTTCAAACGTAAGTCCTTAAGACCTATAGAGCAAATGTTGATCCCATCTACAACAATTTGCCCACTGTATGGGTCTACAAGGCGAAACAGAGCACTAATGAGTGTAGTTTTTCCACTTCCTGTCCTTCCAACAACTCCTACTCTGGTCCCTTCTCTGAAAGTGCAGGTTATCCCTTTGAGCACAATTGGAGCATTTGGACGGTATCTTATCTGCATAAGAACGAAGATTAGACACACTAGTACATATCTATTAGATTTGATCAAGTTTATAAATTTAAAAATTGAGGTAGCATTGCAACTTAATTCCTTTGACTGAAGCTTGTTTCTCATCATAACAAATTCTCCTACAAACAGAAGTTGCATTATCAGCCTTGACCTGAAAGTTAACATGTTTCACTTATGACAACAGTTCATCCGTGGACATGCAAAATTTTCCATCTCATGTAGATTTGGTTCCCATTGCTTAATTTATCTGTTAAAAAAATGATCCCTCTAACATATGTTTTTGAAGAGAATCCTACCTTCAGATCCAGCAATTCTATTCTACCCTTGGAAGGCCATGAAGGTGGGGGCCTTTTGTCTTCCACGACCGCCGGAGGTTCTGGTGGAATATGCATGAACTGTTTGATCCTCTCTACTGAAATGATATAATTAGCTAAGCTACCGTACCATCGAGATAAGAACACTTGTGTGCCAGTAAGTGCGAAAGCATAAGAAAGAGATAGTCCCACAAGCCCTGAAAACATAAATCAATAAAAATGATTTACTTTGGGTTATCAGATACCCTAGCTAAATAATGTTTAGATATATCCATGCATTTCAAAATACCTGGAGCTACATATCCCTTTGGAAGCAACACTAAGAGAAAAGCAGCAGCAAATAGGGTGAGATTTTGAAGTGTTTCTGTTCTTAAGACCAACCACTCCATTGCTGCATTGGAGAAAAGAAAGACTTTTGCATCTGTGTCAACAAGCTTGAGATAGTTCTGGAAAAACCTTTCAGTAATGTTAAATGCTCTAATTATTGGAGCCCCAAGGGCCGTCTCAGAAGCATAGTTCATTATGGGGGCCTTTGTGGTTCCATTTATTCTCATGAGTTCCCGTGCGGAGGCTTGATAATATCCCTATAGTAAACAAGGATGTGTGAGAATAACAAATTATCTATTGTGAGGGAAAGGGAACTGGAAAAAGCTTGGTCTCACCTGAACATATTTGGAGGCTGCTATTGCAAAGATTCCGACAATAAGAACCTGCCATGTCACAGAGGCCATAATACCAATTGCTGCAACTAGTTCAATTCCAGCAGCCATTACAAATGCATAGGCAAAAGGGATGTCAAAATCTAGCACACTAAAATCTGAGGAGGCCTGAGAACAAAGTTTGACCAAATTGTGCAAGAGTAAGCGATTGATATCTTGATATACGGTAGACAGCTAATAAAACACCATAATGTATTTAAGATGGATAAAACTGGAGCAAATATGTCTTACTCGTGTCAAAATCCTCCCAACTGGAGTAGAGTCAAAAAAGAGCATGGGAGCACTGAATATTGAGTTGGTGAAACCAGAGAAGAAGGCTTCAGAAGCTCTTAATCCGAGAAGAGCTGCAAACAGAGATCTCAGGTAGACAAATAAGGCACTAACTGTTGAAATTATTGTGTACACACAAACTATAATGACACTGCTGAATTTTGGAGATTGAATTGCAAATGCTAGCCAATAACTCGCTGCTGCTTGAAGAACAACAAAGCCCGTCTGCGAAAATAGACCGCTTATCACATGAAATAATCCTTTTGAAACCAAAACATAATCCAAGAATGGTTTAAATCCAATATCTCCGATTTCCTTCTCTTCTTCTTCTGTCAACTGTACTCCAGGCATCATGGAAATCTCTCCCTCGCTGGCTTCTTTGCCGAAGTAAGGCTGTTTTGTCCCTTCCAGGGCGTTCCCTTTTCCTCTTTGATGTTCGACTTCATTTTTACCGGTCAAAGGATCAGATAATGTCAATGATGTTTTATGTGCAACCACAAGCTGCTCAAACGCTGTCCCTGCTGTCAGTAATTCGTCATAACTTCCTGATTGAGTTACTTGTCCTCCTTCCATAACCTCCATATTTAACAAGTGGATTGTTTTAGCAAACAAAAGACTAATTAAGAGAATACCTAAAGATCATGATTTAATTGAGGCACAAGAGAATTATATAAAGTAGAAACTTATACCAGAATATGATCAACCTCTGAAAGGAACTCAATTTGGTGAGTCACGAGAATGACAGTCTTATTTGCTAATGCAGACATGACGCAGTCCTGCAATTACAGAATTCAAAGTACTTGGTGAGTATTCAGATAATTTTTTATCTTCTACCAAAACATGCCTTTGACATCAGTCTTACATTAAAAAGAGTTGCTGCTGTATGTGCATCTACCGCACTAAAAGGGTCATCAAGAAGATATATCTCAGCATCATTGTAGACTGCTCGAGCAAGTTGAATTCTCTGCTTCTGTCCACCACTCATGTTAATACCACGCTGACCAATCTCTGTAAGATCACCGTAGTCAAAACTGTCAATGTCTTTGTCCAAAGCAGAAACTCGTATAGCCTCGTCATATTTTATTTTGTTCATTGGCTTTCCAAAGAGTATATTATCTCGGACTGTTCCACTCTGAATCCATGAAGCTTGAGAAACATAAGCAATGGATCCATATGTATTAACCTGGAAGCAAACAACGGCAACAGCAATTAGGACCCGGAAAAAAAATCATAGTGTACTAGATGGAGATAATTTTATAACCCACATTTCCTGACATCTTTGGTATTTCCCCAAGTATTGCATATAAAACAGATGATTTCCCTGCTCCAACAGGTCCGCAAATTGCAACTTTGTTCCCCCTTCTTACTTTCAGATTTATATCTTTAATTGTCAAAGCTGTTGAATCAGGATCCCAACTGAAATTTCCATCTTGAATAAGAATGACAAGATCTGATTCACCCGGGGGATATTTGATGTTATCTTCACGCTTGATTTCATCTTCCTGGAGAAAAGTATTGATCCTATCAAATGAAACTTTGACCTGTATTAAAACGGAAAGAGCCTCAGGTATGAACCTAACTGGTTCTGACATGCTCCTTAGCGCAGCCAAAACTGTAAAAATAGTGCTTGCATCTAATGGGGCACTTTTGAACAGGATACACCCAAAGAAAATGACCGAGGAAACAATTGTTGGACACATCCAATATAAAACAGTGTTATATGTCTTCTTGTATTGAGATTCTGCCAGCCATTTGAATTCAATCCCTCTATATGACTCTATTAAGTTCTTGAATTTCTCTTCCCATGACTGTAACTTAATGATCTTCATACTATTTAGGATCTCAGACATGGCCCTGAGTCGCTTGTCTTGAGCATTCATAAATTCGGATTGACATTTCTGAAGTATTTTTGCAAAGGGTACATTAAGAAGGCCACAGATCAGCAGGGGGACTAAACCAGGAAGGACACCAAGACCCACAACTGCGAAAAGGACAGCGATAGCCAAAAAGAGTTGAAGCCCAGAAGTCCATCCTATGTGAAGCCACATTGGAAATTCTCCCATCCTATAAGCATCAACTGCTATATAGTTTACAACTTCTCCAGTTGAGTGCCTTCGCCTGCCCAAACTAGAAAGCTTGAGTTGCTTTTCATAAGCTGCCACCATCAGAGCCGACCTCATCCTCATACCAATCCTCCTTGCATAGAAAAAGAAATGCCGATAGGACAAGGACTCCACAACTTTCACAAGAATTAACATCCCAACTAAGGCAAGACCTTCATCGATATTTCTGGTTTCAAGTTTGTAATATTCGACAAAAGCAAAGAGCAATAATGGAGAAAGTACAACTGAAACCACCCGAAGCAATGCATAAGTTGCTGTAAGTAACATTTCTTTCCAATGAACTTTTGCTATTGCCCAAAGAGCAAAATTCTGTGCATTGTTGGAGCCCTTCCCCTTTTGAAGCGAGCTCCATGCCTGAGCAAATTTCTCGTATGCCAAATTTGCTTCATCTTCAAGTCCTAGACAGGGAATGTCTTCAAGAGCTAAAGTTTTGGAATTTCCTAAGCGCAATAAAGGGTTGATCCAAGAAAATGACAGTTTACTAAAGAAACTAGCCTGGCCCAGACTAATACAATTCTCGTCGTGAACTTCCTTCACCAAAAGAGTTTCCGAGAAGTTACCCTCTTCCAAATTTGAATGAGAAATGGTATGATGGAAGGTCCTAAAGGCACAAAAAAGCAGCAAGAGACTTACAAACCAAGCTGCAACTTCAAGGATTTGAACGTTGTGCGTTTTCACGAGTACCTCAGTGTTTAGAGCTGATATCAACAGAAAGAAAACCACCCACCATGTAGAAATAAAAATTTTGATCCATCTTGATCCTTGTACAAGCAAGGACAGGCACAAGGTAATCCAAATTAGTCCTCTGAATAAGTAGGCTAACCAGCTCAAATGATTAAATCCACCCTTGTTTCCGCTCAAGTGTAACAAACAAGTAGAGAGGTAAGCAATGCTTATAAGAGCACAGCAGACTGAAACTGCCGTAGCGATCCAATCCCCCCTTCGCAGCCTGATATTGTTCTTCCTTGTGAGACCGACAATCAAGACAAGAAAGAATACAAATACCAGTAATAGGTTGAAGATATCTACGAGCGTTCTCTGAATGCAGGCTGATCCCAGATCAAACTCTCCCTCACAAATCATGTAGAACAACCCTGCATGCCATTTTCACAGAATTTTAGAGCCATTAGATTCTTGTGAATCACAACAATTAGTCAACAGATTATTGGAAAGTATTGACAAAAGAAGAGAGCTTGCATGCACGCTGTTGAAACATCAACAGCAAATGAAACAAACAAACAAGCATAGATAGAAACAGGAACCAATTCTACTACCAAAACTCGAGCTACTCAAGTTATTAGATAAAGATGACCATTTCTCTTTGTTTTTTTTTTTTTTTTTGGGGTGGGGGGAGGATCAGTCGGTGACATACCACGTGAAGTTTCCATTTCCAATAAGGGAGCCATAGGTGTTGGAGGGGTGTTACTGAAGCTCAGTAGCATGGCATGATTGGCAGAGACGGTACCAGTCATAAATGATCGCCACGCTTGGATAACTATACGTCTCCTGATTGAGCTAGTTGATCTAAGATGGTCTTCAAGTCAACGCCGTAAATATAACTGGACCACAAAGATCAGGAAATCCATTAAACAAAGATGAGATGACAACCAGCAGACATCACCCACTTTTCTGGCACCCAAGATACGTTTACACTAAGTAATGTTTAAATGCCATGTATGTTGCCCTCTCAAGAAAAGATACGCTACTATTCTTTTTTACTTTCTCATTTCACACCCTCGCAATCATTAAAACTCACTCATTATCTTAGAAATTAATCGTGGATCGGGAGGTCACAGACAGCTGGATCAAAGTACGGATTACCTCCGATCGAGAGTCTTGTACACCATTATCTGCAGGACGTAGAAGGGATACACCGACCGTTTTAGAGTTCTAGTGAAATCTCTAAAACATGTCAGTGGAACACTAGTCTCGGGCAGTCGATTTCAAGTCATGTTTGATATTAATAGAGAATAACTTAAATTTGTTCGGTATAATGCAGGCCTTCATTTTTTCTGTTTAGACAACAATCAGAACATGTGCGTCAAGGTACTAGACAGTTCAATTTTAAGTCGGAGCATTATTTAGCCTCCTTCGAGTTTAAGTTAGTAAAAATTCAGGCCGTCAATTGTCATTTGCGTGTACATCTGCTAGTTTACCTGCAGTCAACTCCCCTAAGGCGAGTTCTTCAATTGTCATTCGTGTGATTAGTGCATTTTTTTTTTGTGGGATTAGCATTCTTTGAATACTATTGTTACACAAGACCAGGAGAACCAGAGGTTAGAAGCATGATTACGGAACATTGGCTGCTTTTTATAGCTGCTCAAAGAATGTAAACGTGGTCTCGTTTGACGAAATGGAGCTGCATGTGATATGAATTGATGGATCATCAGATATAGAGCGTTGCGTTCTATGGTTACAAGGATTTGTTTTTTGATTAACCCATTCTTGGGTTTTATAGATTTATTTTCAAGTGCTTTGTGTTTATGTCGTCGGCTATGTTGTTTGGATCAAAGAAGATGCTGAGTGATTTACCCTGCAGTTGTTCATAGTAACAAGTAGGATTGATGGTAATGTCAGAAGTTGCATTAGCATATAATAGACTTACAATGTATGAGAGTCTTCGAGTGTTTTGTCGTATGCGTTTAGAAATTTAGCCGCCAGAGGGTTGGCTTATTGTTGCAGGATTCGAACCCAAAAAAAAGAAAAGAAAGGGAAGCTTCGGGTTTCTTTAGTTCAGAGTCTGTTTACATAAGAACTCTTCCGGTTCTAGATGGTCTGTTCATTTGAGAGTTTAAGCTACTCGGAATCCCTTTGACTATTTAAATGGTTCAAAAACCATTATAGGATTACTAGTTTTACCACAGAAAAAAATGTTGCAGAATGATACTTTTGGTGCTCTGTTAAGATCTTAGCTCTTCCTTCCTCCTCAAAATCTCTACATTAAGCTTCCTAAAATTTACATGGGAAGACGGACAAATGAAAACTGATACGGCTGGTTCTTTTTGCAAGAACTTAATATGGACGTAGAAGAGTTAGTCAATCCAAGAAAAGAAAAAGCCATCATGAACACAGGCACTGCTATTGATTAACTGCCTTCATCGTCAACAAAATAGATAATGCATGCCTTGAAATAAACTAACGGTAGTTTATGCCTCATAAGATTGTACTTTGCAGTGAAGAGCATCGAAAGAATCTAGACTATGGTGTCATTTCATCTCAGTTTTGTCTTCATTTTCTATTATTGGACTAAAGACAGATTGATTATAATAGGCATTTCGGCAGTATGTACTTTATCATAACAGCCAAAATGAAGTGGGATTCTAGGAATATTTGCTTTTCTTGGACGCCAACCCCAGGAAGAAGATGAATCACATTTGTCCGCTGCAAATCAAAATTGGACTTAAAAAAATACAGGCGCTGTTGTTTATGTTTCTTGTTTCACGCCCTCGTGAACATTTTTTTTCCTTCTTCTTATAACTCGTCGTTACGTTAAATACTTTTCAGGGATGAAAGAGTGTCGCGGCGTGCACCTCGACCGTCTGCACCTTTTCAGATTTTCATCAAAATCTGTAGAGTACGCGTACCAGTAAGTGATCAAGGGCTTATGGTTTTGGATTCTAATCTCCTCCTCCTCCTTTGCCAGTCCTTGAATCTCATCCTTCCTCTATTGAATTTTCTTTTTCAGCAAAAAAAAAAAAAGAAAGAAGAAGTTAGAGTGATTAAAAAAATTATAGAATTTTTTAACGGGTGCTCGTTGGATACTCGTTAATATATTTAAAATTGACCTAACCTATTGTATATATATACATGTTACAATTATTATCCTTTCTTACATTTATATAATTTCCTTATTTATTCTTACCTACTCTCTCTTGTATTTATTTACTTTCCCTAACTAATCTTATAATTTCAAAAATATGACATCTAAAATATATTTTAATGCATGTCCAATGAGTATCTTAACGCGTGTCGAATGGGTACTTTTTAGACCAAAAAAAAAAAAGAGAGACTATTGATGATTACAAGAATGCGTATGGTGTTTGTTCATTATTGATGCAAGATTGGAACAAAAAAAAAAAGGCTTCGGTTTCTCTCATGATTGAATCTCAGGATGATTTTGGGTTTTTTTAGTTGAGAGTCTCAGTTACTTAAAATTCTTCGAGGTTTAGATGGTCTATTCCTTTTGAATAATTTAAATTGATCAATACTCATCAGAGAACAATTAATTAATCTACTTATCAGAGATCATAACGTATTAACTTCTCTTTGCTAGATTTACAATTTTAACCTATGAGTATAACGTGCAATAAAATAACATTACGTCTCATTAAAAATCTGAGTGAAGGAAACGGAAGGAGTTAGGACTGTCACGTTACCTCACCTCAAATTTGTCTTTCATCACTCATCCATTATTAAAGTATTGCCCAAGAACAGGTGGGTGGTAATAGGCACTTCGGCGTTACGTGCACTTTTTTCATCCGCCCAAAATTGACCCTGAACAAATTTCTTTTCTACTTTACACGGCGAACCAAGGACAGAAAATCAGAATCACATGTATTTAATAGTACCTTGCCAGCAAAAGTGGCCATAGAATAGAAGAAGTAAAAGAGGATACGTCAAACTTGCATCCTACCAATTCGTCACATTAAAAAAAAAGTGGTTCTATTTAAAATATTCAAGCGAGTATGCAGTGCATTCATCTGGTTCGATGGAAGTTCAGTCTCCTCCGAATTACTCTCGGACCTCTTCAGGTCCTCTCTCTCCCTCTAATGTAGGAATCTATCGTATTGACAAAAAAAAAAAGACAATCACAATCGACAATATTAACACATATATTTAATAGTACCTTGCCAGCAAGAGTGGCCATAGAATAGAAGAAGCAAAAGAGGATACGTCAAACTTGCCCCCTCTCAATTCGTCATATTAAAAAATGGTTATAGTTAAAATATTCAGCGAGTACATAGTGCATTCGTCTGGTTCGATGGAAGCAATGACGGAGCCAAGGGGGGGCAGAGGGGAGCCATGGCCCCCCCTAAGTTTTGAGAATTTTAATTCATAATATGTAAATATGTGTGTAAAATAAAATTGGCCCCCCCTAAATTTTTTTAATTTTAGTTTATATTATGAGAGTTGATATATATATATATATATATATATGAATTAGTCATCTTTGAATGGAATTTCAATTTTGGCCCCCCCAAAAAAAAAATCCTGGCTCCGTCACTGGATGGAAGTTCAATCTCTTCCGAATTACTCTTGGATCTCTTCAGGTCCTCCCTCTCCCCCTAGTGTAGGAATCTATCGACAAGAAAAAAAGGACAGTCACAATCGACAATATTAATATATTGACCCAGCTTGAAGAGCTTAAGAAATTAGGCAGTTTTTTTTTTGGTGGGCAATTTTCTTTTCATCCTTAAAAGCTCTTCTCAACAGCTCCATAATATAAAAATATTGCCACCTTCACTAATCCAAAAATTTCAACCCCCTCGTTAAACTCTTTCCAGAATTTAGTCTCTTAATGGAATAATAATCATATGACATAGCAAAAAATTGGAGTTAATTACTGCACAGCAGCCACGTACTTGAGGGTTAAAAACAATTTTTTGACTTACTTATCCTTGTTAACTTTTCATTCGCACTATTTTTTTTTAAGAATTCATCGTGTATAACGTTCAATATAGGGAGCTCAAAAAAAAAGAAGAATTCCAAATACAAAAAGTATAAGAAGAATTTTTTCAACGTCCTTATCCCTAAAAATTTTTTTTTTTTTTTTAAAAAGCTTAATATACTATTCTTTTTTTAGAGAGAAAAAAATGCAAATTTTTTAGTGCTTCTGTCGTTGATTTTATTAGTGCGCCATTTATATTCAGTCGACTACGAGCCGAAGAAAAATAACAAAGTTGCTAGAAAACGAGAGTTTAGAGGGCCAGGCCCAAGCTAGGAACAATCATTGAGAGTCCTGCAGTGCTGTTGAAAAGCAAGTACTGGAAGCCCAATCAAATTGCGACGCGGAGGCCTCTCGTTGCACCGGGAAGCCCGGCTTCCGATCGCCACAATATGCAAAATTCAAATTTCAAAGGCCAGGAATGAGGAAACTATCTTGTGGAGCCCACATATGCGGGGTGTGAAGTTCAAAGAATTTCATGGCTACAGAAAAATCTCACGAGCCTGATAATGCTTTCCAAAATTCGTAAAAGGTACACAAAGATGAACTATTGGGTTGTGTTTTTTGAAGGGTAGATAAAGTTTGAAGTACTTGGAAAATTTATCCTGGTTCTCGACATGTCTATCAATTTTATTGTAAAATGAACTTGTAACATCAAGATGAAAAGAGATTGAAAAAAATAGTTTGCATGAGAGACTTGTAAGTGCAGATAGAACTTGTTTACGTCCAAAATTGAAGCGAGTGGGATAAAAATGGTCTTGGCTCATGGATTTGTTTATAAAGTTGTGCTCAGCTTTGGGCCAGTTATTCATGGAAGGGAAGACGATCCTCAAAGATCACCGCTATTCATCTATGTCTCGCAGATGGATAAAATGTTAGGTCCAACTGGGCTTACAGAGGAGCCGATGGAGACTGAACCATCATCGAATCAGACGAATGCAC